AGCTCTAATAGTATTTGCTTTCTGGGTACTCTGTCATTTTCTAGAATTCTTATAGTCTGATATTTTATATTTAATTTTTTAATTCATTGGGAGTTTTTATATATGGTGAAACACAAGGATCTAGTTTCATTCCTCTACATTTGGCTAACTATTCCAATAGCATTTGTTGAATATGGCATACTGTTCCCATTGTTCATTTTTGCTTTCTTTGTCAAAGATGTGATGGCTGTAGTTGTATGGCTTTATTTCTGGATTCTTTATTTTATTCTTTTGGCTTCTGTGTTTGTCTTTGTACCAGTGCCATGCTGTTTTGGTTGCTGTAACCTTACAATATATTTTGAAGTTAAGTGGTGTGATGTCTTCAGTTTTGTTCTCTATGATTAAAATTACTTAGCTACTTGGGATCTTTTTGTTCCAGATTTTTCTAATTCTGTGCAAAATGACATTTGTGGTTTAAGAGGAATATCATTGAATTTGCAGATTGATTTCAGCAGAATTGCCGTTTTAACAATATTCCTTCTTTCACATCATGAGCATGAAATATATTCCTTTGATTTGTTATGTCTCTAATTTATTTCAGCAGTGTTTGTAGTTCTCCTTGTAGAGATGTTTTACCACCTTGGTAATATTAATATTCCTAGATAATTTTAATGTGTGTGTTTCTATTGTAAATCAGATTGTGTTGTTCATTTGGCTACCAGCTTAAATATTATTGGTGTATAGATATGTTACTGGTTTTGTACATTGATTTTGTATCTTGCAACTTTACTAAATTCGTTTATCAGCTCTAGGGCTCTTTTGATGAAGTCTTTAGGTATAGAATTCTATGATTATGACAGAAAGAAAGTTTGACACTTTGTTTTCCTATTTGGATACGTTTCTTTCTTTATCTTGCCAAATTGTTCTGGCTAGGACCTCCTTGGGCTTGTATTTTTATCCATACGGCCACTCTATGTAGTTTGACTGGAGGGTTTACTCCATTTACATTAACATTATTATTAATAAGTAAGGATTTACCACTGCCATTTAGTTATTTGTTTTCTGATTATTTTGTGATCTCCTCTTTCTCCCTTCCTATATTACTTCCTGGCTTTCTTTTTAGGAAAGTAATATTATCTGGCTTGACATTTTAATTTCTTGATTTTTATTTATTTATTTATTTATTTATTGGTGTATCTGTTGTAGGTTTTTTTGATGAGTTTACCATGAGGCTTGCAAATAACATCTTATAACCCATTATTTTAAACTGAGGACAACTTAATACTTATGCATAAACAAACAAAAAGAAAACTAACAAAATTCTATACTATAACTTCATCCCCCCCGACTTTTGCTATTTCTATTTATATATGATAATAGAGTCCACGTTTTTAAAAGTGGTTGTTGTTAATTTTTTACATTTTTTTTTTATTTAAGTTCTGGGATACATGTGAAGAACGTGCAGGTTTGTTACATAGGTATACATTTGCCATGATGGTTTGCTGCACCTATCAACCTGTTATCTAGGTTTTAAGCCCAGCATGCTTTAGGTATTTGTCCTAATGCTCTCCCTTCCTTGTAGTTATTTTTTATTGGTTCATCTTTTAGTATTTCTATTTGAGATAGGAATAGTTTACACATCACAATTACAGTATTATAATATGTGTTCTTCTGGATACTTAACTATTATCAGTGAGTTTTATGCCTTTATTTTCAGGGTAATTAACTATTATCAGTGAGTTTTATATCTTTGATGATTTCTTACTGCTCATGGACATCCTTTTACTTACCAATTGAAGAACTCCCTTTAGTATTTCTTGCAGTACAGGTTTGGTGTTGATGAAATTTCTCGGCTTTTGTTTGCCTGGTAAAATATTTATTTCTCCTTCATGTTTGAAGAATATTTTCACTGAATATATTATCCTAGCATAAAAGATTATTTTTTTTTCTTTAGAACTTTAAGCATAACGCTTGTATGGTTTTCAGTGAGAAATCTGCTGCCAAACATATCAGAGCTTTTTTGTGTGTTATATGTTCCTTTTCTCTTGTTGCTTTTAGGATCCTTCCTTTATTCTTGTCTTTTGAAAGTTCAGTTAAATGTTTTGAGGTCATATTATTTGGGTTAAAACTGGTTGGTGTTCTATAACCAAGTTGTACTTGAATATTGATATCTTCCTCTAAGTTTGGGAAGTTCTCTGTCATTATCCCTTTTAATAAACATTCGAACCTAATCTCTCTTTTTAATTCTTCTTTAAAGCCGATAACTTAGATTTTTTTTCTCTTTAGACTATTTGCTATATCTCGTAGGTGTGCATCTTTTTTATTATAATTCTTTTTTTTCTTTTGTCTCATCTGTGTATTTTTCAAGTAACCTATATCCAAGGCAAGTAATTCATTATTCTGCTTGATCAATTTCACTGTTAGAGACTATGATGCATTCTTCAATTTTTCAACTGAATTTTTTTCTGCATCTATTGAGATAATCATATGGCTTTTTGCCTTTATTTCTGTTTATGTGATGAATCACATTGATCGATTTGCATAGGTTCAACCAACTTTGCATCCTGAGAATGAAGCCCACTTGACTGTGGTGGATAAGCTTTTTGATGTGCTATTGGATTTCGTTTTCCAGTATTTTATTTTATTGAGGGCATTTGCATTGCTCTTCATCAAGTATATTGGGATTTGGTTCTTTGTTGTATCTCTGCCAGGTTTGGGTATCAAATGATGCTGGTTTCACAGAATGAGTTAGGGAGGAGTCCCACCTATTCCTTTTTTTTAAAATAGTTTCAGTAGAAACGGTGCCAGTTCCACTTTGTACCTCTGGTAGAATGCAGCTGGAAATCTATCTAATCCTGGGCTTTTTTGACTGTTAGGCTATTACTGCCTCAGTTTCAGAACTTACTATTGGTCTATTCAGGAATTCAATTTCTTCCTGGTTCAGTCTGGTGAGGGCATATGTGTCCAGGAATTTATCAATTCCTTCTAGATTTTCTAGTTTATGCACACAGAGGTGTTTATAGTATTCTCAGATAGTTGTTTGTATTTATGTGGGGGCAGTGGTGGTATCCCCCTTATTATTTCTGATTTTATTTATGTGATTCTTCTTTTTTTTAAGTCAGGTAAAGGTCTAATTTTTTTAAGGGTTTTGTCTCTCTATTTTCTTCAGTTTCACTATGATCTTGGTTACTGCTTGACTTCTGCTAGCATTGAGATTTGTTTGCTGTTGATTGTCTAGTTATTTTAGTTGAGTTATTAGGTTGTTAACTTAAGATCATTCTAGCTTTTTGATGTGGGCATTTACTGCTATACATTTCTCTCTTTTCTGTTGAATTTGGTTAAAGAGTTCCATAGATACCTATCAGGTCCAGGGCTGAGATTATGTCCTGAATATCTTTGCTAATCTTTCGCCTCAATGATCTGTCTAATATTGTCACTGCAGTGTTAAAGTCTCCCACTAGGATTGTGTGGGTGTCTAAGTCTCTTTGTAGGTCTCTAAAAACTTGCATTATGAATCTAGGTGCTCTTCTTTGGGTGCATATCTACTTAGGATAGTTAGCTCTTCTTGTTGAATTGAACTCTTTACTGTTGTGTAATGCCCTTCTTTATTTTTAATCTTTGTTGGTTTAAAGTTTGTTTTGCCAGAAAGTAGAATTGCCATCCCTGCTTCTTTCTGTTTTCCATTTGCTTGATAAATTTTCCTCCATTCCTTTATTTTAAGCCTATGTGTGTCTTTGAATACGAGATGGGTCTCTTGAAGACAGCATACCAATGGAACTTAGCTCTCTATACAGCTTGCCATTCTGTACCTTTTAATTGGGGCATTTAGCCCTTTTTTTCACATTAATATTGTTATGTGTGAATGGATCCTGTCATAATACAAGCTGGCTATTTTGCAGAATTATCGATGTAATTGCTTCATAATGTCACAGGTCTGGTACTTCAGTGTGTTTTTCTAGTGGCTGGTAACAGTTTTTCATTTCCATATTAATGCTTCCTTCAGGAGATCTTGCAAGATAGGCATGGTGGTGATGAATTCCCTTAGCATTTAATTGTCTTAAAAGGATCTTATTTCTCCTTCACTTATACAGCTTACTTTGGCTGGATACGAAATTCTGGGTTGAAAATTCTTTTAAGAATGTTGAATATTGGTTCTCAATGTCTTCTGGCTTGTAGGGATTCCACTCAAAGGTCTGCTATTAGTCTGATAGGATTCCCTTTGTAGATTACCTTACCACTTTCTCTGGCTACCCTTAGCCTTTTTTTTTTTTTTTTTTTTCATTTCAACCTTGGAGAATCTGATGATTATGTGTGTCTTGGGGTCAATCTTTTGTGGAATATCTTACTGGGGTTCTCTGCATTTCCTGAAATATGTTTACCAACTTGGTTTTGTTCTCCTTGTCTCTTTCACTTATACCAGTCAGTCAGTCATAGATTTGGTCTTTTTACATAGTCCCATATTTCCTGGAGGTTTTGTTTGTTTTCATTCATTTGTCTCTATTCTTGTCTGCCTGTCTTATTTCTGAAAAACACTTTTCAAGCTCAAACGTTCTCTCTTCTGCTTGGTTTATTTTGCTGTTGATATTTGTGACTGTATTGTGAGGTTCTCATGTTGTGTTTTTCAGCTCCATCAGGTTGGTTATGTCTCTCGCTAAGCTTACTATTCTGGCCATCAACTCCTGTATTGTTTTATCAGAATTCTTACCTCCTTGCTCCTTTAGCTCAGCAAAGTTATAATAATAATTACCCACCTTCTGAAATCTACTTGTCAGTTCAGCCATCTCAGCCCACTTTGATGTCCTTGCTGGAAAGGTGTCACAATAATTTGAAGGAGGAAAGGCATTCTGGCTTTTTGAGTTTTCAGCATTTTTGCATTGATTCTTACTCATCTTTGTGGATTTATCTACCTTCCGTCTTTGAGGTTGCTCACCTTTGAATGAGATTTCAGTTGGGTCTTTTCTGCTGATGTTGTTGTTTTCTGCTTGTTTTTAACATTCAGCCTACTGTACCATAGGGTTGTTGCAGTTTGCTGGAGGTATCGCAAGTGAAGGCTGTGGAACAGCAAAGATGGCAGCCAGCTTCTTCCTCTGGAAGCTTCTTCTCAGGTGAGTACCAATATGTTGTCAGCCCACATGCACCTGCAGGAGGTGGCTGGAGCCCCTGTTCAGTGGTCTCACCCAGTCAGGAAGAACAGGATCAGTGACATGCCCAAAGAAGCAGTCCAGCTTTTTTTGGGTAGAACAGGTTTGCTACTTTGGGATGGGACCCTTCCTTGTCCAGCTTGTATTCTCCAAAGCCAGCAGACTAGAGCAGCTGAGTAGACTGAACCACAGAGATGGTGGGTGCCTCTCCCCTCAGGAACTTGAACCCATCTCAGGTGGACTCCAACCCACTGCCATTGGTAATGGGACTCAACTTGTGAGGTGCTGTGGAAGTGAGATCAACAAAACAATGTGGCCCCCTTCCTAGGGACATTTATGGATAAATTTCCCATCTTGCTGGGGATCCCAGGGCTGAGTATGCAAAACTCCTATTCTCTCTCTGTGTATCAGATTCAAGGCTCTGGTGGCATGGGCTTATGAATGGATCTCCTGATCTTTGGGCTACAAAGATCCATGGGAGAAGCATGGTTTCCCAAGTAAGGTTGGGTAAATACTCACCACTTTCCTTGGTTGGTGGTGGAGGTTCCCTTGGCTCCCTGCTGCTCTCAGGTGGGCCGTCGCCCATCTCCACACTCTCCATGGGTTGTACTGTTTGCCTAGTCAGTCCCAATGTGAGAACCTGGATATTTCAGTTGAAGGTGCCAAGGTTCACTCCTCCCTTTTATTCCTCTCCATTAGAGTGCTGACCACAGTTGACTTTAATCAGCCATCTTGGATCGATCCCGCGAGAATGTGCCTTGACAGTGTTTTTCTAAAATATACATAGAAACACAAAAGATCTAGAATAACCAAACAATTTCAAGGAATCCTTCAAAATAAAAATAGACAACTTACTTTACAACTAAAATATCTGAATAGACACTTTACTAAAGATATATGAATGACAAAGAGGTTTATCAAAGGATGCTTAATATCATTAATAATGAAGGACATGCAAAAAATAAAAAGAGCTATCACAAACACACTTATTAGAATAGCTAAGAATAAAACCAAAGAGCTAATTATACTAAATGCTGATGTACAGAAATTGTGGGGATAATCTTTCAGAAGAAGGAGACACATGGGGAAAGAGCTCCAGGAATCTGCATGATCCAGCATTGCAAAGCTTATAGTCATATTTGGCATTCAAATAAAAGTTAGTAGACAAATGAAATAACAAACAGGACACATCTCCATAACCAGGAAAAAAGAATGTCAATAGAAATGCAAAAGTGGGGGATCTGGTGATATGGCAGAATAGGAAGAGCTACAGTCTGCAGCTCCCACGGAAGCAAACAAAGAAGGCAGGTGATTTCTGCATTTCCAACTGAGGTACCCTGTTCATCTCATTGGGACTGGTTAGGCAGTGAGTCCAACCATGGAGGGTGAGCAGAAGCAGGGTAGGGTGTCACCTCACCTGGGAAGTGCAAGAAGCAGGGGGCCTTGCTTTCCCAGCCAAGGAAAGCTGTGAGCAACTGTGCCATCTGGCCCCGATACTATGCTTTTCCCATGGTTTTTGCAAGCTGCAGACCAGGAGTTTTCTTCATGTCCCTACACTACCAGGGCCCTGGGTTTCAAGCACAAAACTGGGTGGCTGTTTGGGCAGACACCAAGCTCACTGTAAGAGTGTTGTTTTCATACTCCAGTGACAAAGAACCATTTACTCTCCTAGAAAGAGGGCTGAAGCCAGAGAGGCAAGTGGTCTCATTCAGCAGGTCCCAATCCCATGGAGCCCAGCAAGCTAAGAACCACTGGCTTGAAATCACACTGCCAGCACAGCACTCTAAAGTTGACCTGGGATGATCAAGCTTTGTGGGAAGGGGCATCCACCATTATTGAGGCTGGAGTAGGTGGTTTTTGCCCTGACAGTGCGAAAAAGGCCTAGAAATTTGTACTGGACAGAACTCAACACAGCATAGAAAAACAGCTGTGGCCAGATTGCCTCTCTAGATTCCTCTTTACTGGGCAGGGCATCTCTGAAAGAACAAAAGCAGCCCCAGTTAGGGGCTTATAGATAAAACTCCCATCTACCGGGTACAGAGCACCTGGAGGAAGGGGTGGCTATGGGCACAGCTTCATTAGACTTAAAGGATTCTGGTTGCCAGCTGTGAAGAAAATAGTCTATCCTTACAAGGAGGGTTCGCCCAGAACAGTGCTGAAGCTCTGCTAAGGGACAGACTGCTTCCTCCCGTGGGTCCCTGAACCCCATGCCTCCTGACTGGGAGACATCTCCCAACAGAGGTTGACAGACACCTGATATGGGATCACTACAGCTGGCATCAGGCTGGTGGCCCTCTGGGACAAAGCTTCCAGAGGAAGAAGCACGCAGCAATGTTTGCTGTTCTGCAGCCTCTACTGGTGATACACAGGTAAACAGGCTCTGGAGTGGAGTGGACTTCCAGCAAACTGCAGCAGACCTGCAGAAGAGGTTCCTGTTAGAAGAAAAACTAACAACCAGAAAGCAGTAACATCAAAATCAACAAAAAGAACCCCCACACAGAAACCCCATTCAAAGTTCATCAGCCTCAAAGATCAAAGGTGGATAAATCCACAAAGATGAGAAAAAAAAACAGCAGAAAAATGCTGACAATTCCAAAAATCAGAACACCTCTTCTCCTCCAAATGGTCACAATGCCTCTCCAGCAAGGGCACAAAACTGGACAGATAATGAGTATGACAAATTGACAGAAGTAAGCTTCAGAATGTGGGTATTAACATACTCCTCTGAGCTAAAGGAGCGTATTTTAACATAATTCAAAGAAGCTAAGAACCTTAATAAAAAGTTACATACTGCTGTAAAAAAAAGAAAAAAGTTACATACTGCTAACTAGAATAACCAGTTTAGAGAGAAACATAAATGACCTGATGGAGCTGAAAAACACAGCACAAGAACTTTGTGAAGCATACACAAGTATCAATAGGTGAATCAATTCAAGCAGAAGAAAGGATATCAGAGATTAAAGATCAACTTACTTACTGAAATAAGCTGTGAAGACAAGATTACAGAAAAAAGAATGAAAAGGAGTGAACAAAGCTTCCAAAAAAATATGGACATGAAAAGACCAAACTTAAAATTGATTAGGTTGAAACAAAGGAAAAAATGTTCAGGGCAGCCAGAAAGAAAGGTCAGGTTGCCTACAAAGGGAAGCCCATCAGACTAACAGTGAACCTCTCTGCAGAAACCCTACAAGCTAGAAGACAGTGGGGGCAAATATTCAACATTCTTAAAGAAAAAGATTTTCAACCTAGAATTTCATATCTAGCCAAACTAAGCTTCATATATGAAGGAGAAATAAAACCCTTTTGAGACAAGCAAATGCTAAGGGATTTTGTCACCACTAGGCCTACCTTACAAGAGCTCCCGAAGGAAGCACTAAATATGGAAGGGAAAAAATGGTACCAGGCCACTGCAAAAACATACCAAAATATAAAGACCAACAACACTATGAAGAAACTGTATCAACTAATGGGCAAAATAACCAGCTAGCATCATAATGACAGGATCAAATTCACACATAACAATGTTAACCTTAAATACAAATGGGCTAAATGCCCTAAATAAAAGACACAGACTGGCAAAGTGGAGAAAGAGTCAAGATCCATCAGTGCCATATTCAGGAAACCCAGCTCATGTGCAGACACATATATGCTCAAAATAAAGGGATGGAAGAATATTTACCAAGCAAAGAAGCAGTAGGGGTTGCAATCCTGGTGTCTGATAAGACAGACTTTAAACCAACAAAGACAAGAGCATAACATGATGGTAAAGGGATCAATGCAACAAGAAGAGTTAACCATACTAAATATATATGCATCGAGTACAGGAGCACCCAGATTCAAAAAGCTAATTCTTAGAGAACCACAAAGAGACTTAGACCCCTACACAATCATAGTGTGAGAATTTAACACCCCATTCTCAATATTAGACAGATCAGTGAGACAAAAAATTAACAAAGAATTTCAGGACTTAAACTCAACTCTGGACCAAGAGGAACCAACAGACATCTACAGAACTCTCCACCCCAAATCAACAGAATGTACATTCTTATCAGCGCTATGTAGCATGTATTCTAAAATTGACCACATAATTGAAAGTAAAGCACTCCTCAGCAAAAGAATGGAAATCATAAGTCTCAGACCACAGTGCAATCAAATTAGAACTCACAATTAAGAAACTCACTCAACTTCACAACTACATGGAAACTGAACAACCTGCTCCTGAATGACTACTGGGTAAATAGCAAAATTAAGGCAGAAATAACAAAGTTCTTGGAAACCAATGAGAACAAAGAGACAAAGTACCAGAATCTCTGGGACACAGCTAAAGCAGTGTTAAGAGGGAAATTTATAGTACTAAATGCCCACATCAGAAAGTGGAAAAGATCTAAAATCAACTAACATCACAATGAGAAGAACTAGAAAAATAAGAGCTATCAAATTCAAAAGCTAGCAGAAGACAAGACATAAATAAGATCAGAGTAAAACTGAAGGAGATAGACATATGAAAAACTCTTCAAAAAATCAATAAACCCAGGAGCTGGTTTTTTGAAAAGATTAACAAAATAGACTGCTAGCCAGACTAATAAAGAAGAAAAGAGAGAAGAATCAAATAGACATGATAAAAAACAATAAATGGGATATCACCACCAATCCCACAGAAGAAAATGCTATTAAAAACCTCTACATAAATAAACTAGAAAATCTATAAGAAAGGGTTAAATTCCTAGACACATACACCCTCCCAAGACTAGGAAGAAGTTGAATCCCTGCATAGACCAATAACAAGTTCTGAAATTGAGGCAGTAATTAATAGCCTAGTAACCAATAAAAGCCCAGAACCAGATGGATTCACAGCCCAATTCTACCAGAGGTACAAAGAGGAGCTGGTACCATTCCTTCTGAAACTATTCTAAACCACAGAAAAAGAGAGAATCCTCCCTAACTCGTTTCATGAGGCCAGCACCATCCTGATGCCAAAACCAGGCAGAGACATAACAAAAAAAGAAAATTTCAGGCCAGCATCTCTGATGAACATCATTGATAAAATTCTCAATAAAATGCTGGCAAACTGCATCCAGCAGCACATCAAAAATCTTATCCATCACAACTAAGTTGGCTCCATCTCTGGGTTACAAGAGTGTAGGAGATTGGTCAAAGTGGTAGGAAAAACTATACGGAAAGGAGCAGGTTTTCTAAAAGGTCAGAAGGCTCTGCATAGCTCTGGGAAAGAATAAGCTGAAGGCAGCTGTTCTCTTATCCTGAGGCAGAGGGCAAGGAGTAGGTACAATGAAGTGTAGGGAAATTTATCTTAAATAGGCTTGTTTACTTATGTTGTCCATAAACTGACTTTTGATCATCCACACAAATAACTGCTCCCTGAGAAAGGTAACATGTTAATTACATGCAGATTGTGTTTGCTGCAGGCTTTCAGCATTGTGTCTGTATTGAATAAAAGCAAGCACTCCGGCTGTTTGGGGCTGCTCTGTTCTTCAGCCATTAGTACCAGGAAGCTCCCTAGATGCTCTTACATTGCATACCTGTGTCTGAGTACCCTTTCATCTGTCACTTGATCAGGGTCTGTAGGATGGACCCATCAGCTCGTCCCCCATGTGAGGAATGCTGCAATGGATCACGGCAGAACATTGGAAAATGAAGGTGAAGGGACTGCACGGTAAGTAATTGGAATTGGTGCTCACTCAGAATTTTCAAGCTAGAGTTTTATCATGGGACAATAGTTATCAGCTCAACAGCAACAGTATATAAAAGTATTGAAACAGCTGCTTAGAGCTAGCAGGTCCTCGGTTTCAGAGGCTCACTTAAGGAACCAAATGCACATTGTTGTTTTCCATAACCCATGGTTTCCAGAAGAAGGTGCATTAGACCTAGAGCTCTAGGAGCAAGTGGGGAGAAATCTTAAATGACATCATGCACAAAGGCAATGGGTCCCAGTAATATCTTTAACATATAGGGCTGCTTTGGCTCCACTCTACACAATAGAGACCAAAAAGGGAAGGGAGGAAGAACCATCACCTACCCGACTCCTCTCTCAGCCCCAACATTACTACATAAAGGTGCACTGAGGAGACAGAGATTTTTCCCTGAGGCCCATCCCCCAATAAATTAGAAAAAAGGCAGGGATACACTACAGTTATGGAACCCTGTTTTAGGCAAGATCTTGGCCTTCCCAGTGATGCAAGACCAACAAGGTAATTGGGTACATGAACCTGTTACTTTCAACACTTGAAAAAGCATGAGAGAAAATGGAGTCACTAGCCCATTTACAAAAGGAATAATTGAGGCCATAGCAGACCACTTTCATATGACCCCATAGGACTGTTCAGTGCTAGCTAAAACAACTTTAGAGGCTAGTCAATACCTCCTGTAAAGGGCAGAATATGATGAGCTGTGGGAACAACAAGCCAACAAGAATCAATTGACTGGACCAAAATGATGGCTGCTATGCTCCAGAGGAGAGGCCCCTATGTTAATATAAAACCTCTGGTCATTCCCATCCCTCTAAATATTTGGGGATGGGACCTATTAGTCCAGTGAACTAATTAGACCTATTAGATCCCTTTCTAATAATGGCCACTGTTATAATTCCTCCCCTACCCCTGATATGGCTCTCTCAAGAGCCTATTTGGGTAGAACAATGGACTGTAAAGGAAGAGAAATTACAATGAGCCCATGAATTAGTTGAGGACAATTAAAATCTGGCCATATACATAGGCAAAGACTTCATGACTAAAACACCAAAAGCAATGGCAACAAAAGCCAAAATAGGCTAATGGGATCTAATTAAACTTAAGAGCTTCTGCACAGCAAAAGTAACTATCATTAGAGTGAACTGGCAACCAACAGAATGGGAAACAAATGTTTGCAATCTACCCATCTGACAAAGGGCTAATGTCCAGAATCTACAAAAAACTTAAATTTACAAGAAAAAAGCAACCCCATCAAAAATTGGGCAAAGGATATGAACAGACACATTTTAAAAGAAGACATTTATATACCCAACAAACATATAAAAAAAAACTAATCATCACTGGTCAGTAGAGAAATGCAAATCAAAACCACACTGAGATACCATCTCATGCCAGTTAGAATGATGATCATTAAAAAATTAGGAGACAATAGATGCTGGAGAGGATGTGGAGAAATAGGAAAGCCTTTACACTGTTGGTGGGACTCTAAATTAGTTCAACCATTGTGGAAGACAGTGTGGCGATTCCACAAGGATCTAGAAACAGAAATACCATTTGACCCTGCAATCCCATTACTGGGTATATACCCAAAGGATTATAAATTATTCTTTTATAAAAACATACACATGTATGTTTATCGTACCACTGTTCACAATAGCCAAGACTTGGAACCAATCCAAATGACCATCAGTGATAGACTGGATAAAGAAAATGTGGCATATATAACATGGAATACTATGCAGCCATAAAAAAGGGTGAGTTCATATACTTTACAGGGATATGGATAAAGCTGGAAACCATCAATCTCAGCTAACTGACACAAGAACAGTAAACCAAATACCATATATTCTTACTCATAAGTGGGTGTTGAACAATGAGAACACATGGACACAGGGAGGGGAACATCACACACTGGGGCCTATCAGGTGATGGAGGGCTAGGTGAGGGATATAGTAGACAGTGGGGGGATTGGGGAGGGACAACATTAGGAGAAATACCTAATGTAGATGACAGAGTGATGCAGCAAACCACCATGGCATGTGTATACCTATGTAACAAACCTGCACATTCTGCACATGTACCCCAGAACTTAATGTATAATACATAGATAAATCTGGTCATATAAAACCATGAAACAGCCCTTGGAATTTGCCCATTTTCATCATTCCCAAAAAGTCTGGTAAATGGAGACTTTTGCATGACTTATGTGCTGTCAACGCTAATTTGCAACCTATGGGGCCCCCTTCAACAGGGGCTCCCTTCCACTGTGGTGATTCCTCAAGAATGGCCTATAGTCATTATTGATTTAAAAGACTGCTTTTATACTATTCCCCTTGCAGAACAGGACAGATAAAAATTTGTGTTTACAATACTAGCTATCAATAATGAAGGGCCAGCTCACCAATTTCATTGGAAAGTACTTTCTCAAGGAATGTTGAACAGTCCTACCATGTGTCAGTATCATGTAAATCAGGCTTTGTTCCCCAGTAGAAAAGAATTTCCTAATTGCAAGATCATCCATTATATGGATGACATTTCACTGGCAGTCCCAATGGAGCCAATACTTTCGAGTTTATATGCCTCTGTAAAAAGGAACACACAGTTAAGAGGTTTAATCATAGCACCTGAAAAGGTACAGATATCCTCACCTTGGAAATATCTTGGATACATAACAACTTCCTGGTCAGTAAGTTCTCAAAAGGTTACACTGAATAATAGCAACTTATACACCTTAAATGATTATCAAAAATTACTGGGTGACATTAACTGGTTTCATCCCACCTTGAACATAACTACTAATAAATTACAAAAACTGTTTTCTATTCTAAAGGGCAATGCAGCCCTGGACTCTCAGGTATTTGATTCCGATGCAAAAAGGAAAATTAAGGAAATTTCTCAGAGGCAAGCTATTTCTCAGAGGCAAGGAGATTACATAGACCCACAATAGTCAGTACGATTATTTACATTCCCTACTAAACACTCCCCAACAGGATTAATAGGACAGATGGCCCAGGGCTACGCTTCCTAGAATGGGTTCTTTGCTCACATACCAGGACTAAAGCACTATCTCCCTATATCCAACTAGTTAGTAAAGTCATCATTACAGGCCACAAACGATGCAATTAATTGCAAGGTTGTGACTCTGATGTTGTAAGAATACCCTTAATTAAAAAATGATTTGAAGCAGTCCTGCCCCTATCTCTAGACCTTCAGATAGCACTCTGATTATGTGGGCCATACAGAACATGCCCCTTCTCACAGATAAACTACTCTACTTCTTATCTCATACTCCTGTAGTTATGCCCACAAAAGTAGTTTACTCCCCAAACCAAATGCTTTAAGGCTTTTCACTGATGGCTCTGGTACAAATGGAAAAGTAGCTATCTGGCGAGAACTGCCTAACTCCCTCACTTGATTTAGATTTACTAGTACTCAGAGAGCTCAGGTTGGAGCCATAATATTGGCCCTGGAAACCTTTTCCACTCAGTCCATCAATATTGTTAGTGACTCTGTTTACTCTATTGCAAAACCTTTAAATCGCCCTCATTAAGTTCACTCTTGAGCCTATGTGCCCTTTTTCTTCAACGTCAGCGATTGCTGGATCAACATACACATCCTATTTTTATAACATACATATGGACCCACAGCTTGCTGCCTGGGCCACTAGTTCCTGGCAATGATCAAGCAGACCTGCAAGTTATGACGTCACTGCTTGACCAAGCCACCCAATCACATCAATTTTTCCACCAAAATTGGATAAATTTATCTAAACAATTTTAGTTAGCTCAAAGACTAAACAAATTATCCTGCAGTGCCCAGATTGCCAGCTCACAGGTATGTCCTCCCTCTTCAACAGATGTTAAAACCCTAGAGGACTGGAACCTACTCAGTTATGGCAAACAGATGTCACCCACATCCCTGAATTTGGAAAACTAAGATATGTACATGTATCCATTGATACCAATTCCTACCTAATTAGTGCACATGCTCTTCCTGGAGAATCCACCTGAAATGTCATTAAACAAATTCTCTTAACCTTTGCATTAATGAGGTGGCTCACAAAAATTAAAACTGATAATGGTTCAGCTTATACCAGCTCACAATTTCACCAATTTTGTCACACATGGAACATCCAGCATTGCACAGGTATCCCATATACCCCCAAGGACAGGCCATAGAACATGCCCACTTCACCCTTAAAAATATTCTCAGAAAACAAAAAAATGATGGCAGTGGATATATGCATATGGACCCTGCAACACTATTGGCACAAGCCTTACCCTTAATGTCTTAAATTTAGATAAATTTTAATCAGCTATAGAAAAGCACTTTTCAAAAATCACTTAATATATAAAACCTTTAGTTTTATGAAAAATGTAAATACTAACATATGGTGTGATTCAAATCATTTGCTGACGTGGGGAAGAGGATATGCTTGTGTTCATACCCCCTCAGGTCCTCTTTGGATTCCAGCATGATGTATGAAACCTTACCGTGGTGTGGCTAGAACCCAATCCAATACCAGAAATGAAGGAAATGACCCTGTAGGACCTGCAGTACCTGACAATGCAGCTTCCTCAGATGACACAAGCCTGGAGCATTACCTGGGGGATGCTGAAGATGACAACTCAGGAAGCTGAGCAAATTCTGCTCCAGACAGACATCATTCACTCCAGATAATTTGTTTCTTGCTATGCTTTCTGTTGTACATTGCATCTCTCATAGGGCATTAACCTTTCTTATTCTCTCACTTTGCCTGCAACCCACACCTGCTACTCTCTATCAGACCCATCTTCTAGATCCACCGTTCTTCTGCCCTGTTACTTAGGCAGACACCCCTTTCCCAGCCTCTAACAATGTGACTGAGGGATTGACATATCCCTGGATGGGTCCCTCAGTAATGGCATATATTGGACTGAGGTGCCAGGTAATACTACGTATCACTCCACAATTCTCTCACTGAGTC